CCATTAGTTTTTTGTAGCAGATTATTTGTTTTCCATCGTTATGTCGGATTCGAGACATCGTTCACTGTTGGATACGAATGCGATTTGGATATTGTTTAATGGCGCTCATTTCCGCCGGCTCGTTATGAATGTGGGCTTCGTCTTGTTCTCAGTTTCGATGATAAAGTGAGTAATAAACAATTAAGAATAGTTTATTTAGGTTAATAATAAAGAGAAAATGTAAAGCTTTAACAGACGAAATAATGCCCACCTTATTTCATACACATACAAGAGTTCGTAGTTATTTCTTTAGACAACTAAAAGTAAACAAACAAAAACATAGATTTAGCGTTATTGTAAGCAAAGCAAAAAAGCTCTAATTTCAGATGATTCACATTTGTATTTTAACAATGATTGTGTGTCAAATTGTAGATAATGATGCCGTGATGATGTGCGTGGTGACGGCGCGGTGACACAGAGGGCGTCTGCTTCCGGCGCTGACGCAATATCCGCACACTTCCGTCCGCCATCGGGGATACCAGAGATCCACTTACGCCCTTCCGTTACGTTAGCGTTTAGTTGGCGATTACGCGGAAATAGTATATGAAACAATCGATTCTAATTATTGATTCATAAAATACTAATTATAGACAATTTTGTACAGAAAACATAGCAAAGCACTGTCTTGTGTATTCAAGCTTTAATAAAAATTAAATTAAAATTAAAAGAAACATCTCTGTTGCAAAATAATGACGTGGAAAATATAACAAGATAAAACTGGTTCCGTTATTTGTAGATCGGCTTGTAAAGATAAAGCGACGTTGAAAATGCAGAGGATACATCTGTTATTCGGCGAACTTCCCCGAAGCGTGTATTAAAGTTTACTTTAACATTCTTCATCTAATCATGACTTATGGCGTAATTATTTTCATTTCTTATTCGAAATCACTATTCTTTTTTGTATTGCATTTTTCTTTTACGTCTACGATATGTTGTTTTATGGATTTTATCGTAATTGACGTAGGAACCTGTTATTTCACATACCGAAATTATTTTAAAAACTCATGATACGAAGAATAGAATAAAATATTATCATAACCATCTTATTACTAATATAAATGAGACAGTATGTTATTTGCATTGCTGTTTAAAAGATTCTCCCAGACATTGATGAAATTTGACATAGTCTGAAGAACATATATGTAGTTTGCATAACCATTTTTCTTTAATTCCGCGCAGACGGAGTCACTGGCGACAACTAGTCTATATTGACTAAAAAGCTTTTACATTGCTTTTATACATTACCATTAAGGAAACATGTTTTTGTATAGTTCCGTCAATGGAAACGGTTTACGAAAAACGTTACCGGTTCGTCGAACAATGTGTCACGCGAAGTCAACTGAGCGTTCATTTGGCGGAAGCGAGTAGTTAAACCGAAGCGCGGTCATCTGGCTGCCGACCCCTCCAACGCTACGCTTATCGCCTACGCTACGCTTCTAATGTTCTAACCGAGCTTTTTTATACGCTCTGATGTCTTTTTAAGTGACGGCCCCCTTCTAATTCACACGCTAGTATCACACCTTACATGAGGATACTCTGTCAACTATCACACTAAGCTTTCTAAGATAGCAATCCTTTAATACATCAGAACCGAATAATGTATGAAAACATTCACCTAATTATTTTTTTTAATCCATTTAAGATTTGTTTTCTTGCATTGAATACACTCGGAAATTACTCAATCGATTTTAAAAATTACTTCGCCATTAGAAATCTACTTTATCACTAAGTAACACAGGCAGTATTTGTCATAAAATGGAAGGGTATAGATATGGGAGAAAATATTTGAAACGTGTATTCTAAAAATTACAGTTTTTTGTTAATTTACTACTAATGTATTAATTTGTATTGGAATCAAAGTAACGATAACTATTACCGATTTTAAAAGTTTCCTTTTACTTTTGGAAAGCAATGTACAGAATATATTGAACATATACCTCCTCCTTTTGGAATTAAATCAGCAACACCATAATAAACTTCATCATTCACTTTCCTATTTCCTATCGATAGTAAAAGTGCATTGTTACGCGTTTTCCGGTCGAGTGCTATCCATTTAAGGCAGCATCATTATTTTAATGATTTCGTTATACGTCAAGAGTGATCTCACTATCGATTCTACATTGTTTTTTGTAAGCCATCTGTCGCGGAAGGGGGACAAGCAGAGGGTAATTTTATCCACAATGTCGGGCCACGGTTATCTGTCTCCCAGTCACATAAGGCGAGGAAGCGAGAGCTTAAAGGGCTCGTCTCGATGACAGACCTCCATTAACGAAGTGACGATTTGACGATTTCCAAACGTCATTAGGAGAGGATGACGAATGGGGTTATTCTGTTACAAAATTTCACAAGATGTGCATTTATTTATTTATTCACACTTTGTACACAAGGAAAACAATTTACAATAAATACATATTGAAAGTTACTAAACGTGAAATAGTTTTGCTTAGTACTGTAATTGGTTATCAGGAAACATTTAATGGTTAATTCTTTATATTGAGAAGTGCAATTTATAACTCGATGGCATTACAGGAATAGTAAATAAATGTATTTTTAATAATCTGGAAGTTCAATGATATTTATAAAATGAAAGGTTAATTTTTATAGCACATAAAAATAAACCACAAATGAATCGTTAAAACCATTAAGTTTATTATCGTATAAATCTAAAAAAGGTAAAGCTATAACACCATTTGCGAAGAAAAAGGACATCCTCAATCAATAACATACTAATCATCGGTCGAAGTTAAACGTTTTTTTCGAATAGCTGACGATTCATTTGCGGGCCATTAAGGACCGGTTAATTTTACGATCGTCGAGCACTTAACATTCCTGAGGGTGCAGCGACAGCATAATCACACCGGATATTGGAAATTAAAACGTCGCTTTGACGACATTGTCCATTTAACACCTACTGAGATAAAACGACTCGACGCGTAGACCTGCGTCCGCGCACTTGGTCACACAGTACTGTGTAATACTTTTCTAAAATAAATCCTAAAGTTAAAACAATTCATTTTACTAATACTTTACTGCGATTTATATCCAAGTTTGCCGCCATTTCGAATTATAGAATATACCACGTAATCAGTCAAATAAAAAAAAACTCGAAAGAGTGTCTACGACATTCTATGGAACAATATCAATTTAATGAGAAATATTCTTCAAAATCGTTCAAACCATAAAAGGGATAAGAGCTCATAATGTATCAGACATAACCGCGAATATTACCCCCCCCCTTATGATGTCAGCAACAGAAATATTTTTTTTTAATACATCGTTAAAGGCAGGAAAACTTTATATAGACCAGGATAAGTGTTGGATAATAGAATGAAGACAGAAAGGAAGTCAGCTTCCACAGAAGTGATGACGAAACTTCTGAGAAGACAAACGAAGCGGGTCCTTGAATATTTTTCCGCGGATTACTTATTAAAATCAAGTATGACTCAGATGATATATGTTATGCTGCGTACAGAGAAATAAATCAATGGATGTGGTTTTGTATTTGTGTATAATTATTGCATCTATATTTTTAAAGTACGATTAAATGCGGGCACACACCCTTGATTAACCAATCGCTCAACTTTTGTTCGATTGTCGATTGTCGATTGTTTCGCAGCCAATTCAAATACAGTTGCATAACTAAAAACAGAGTAGTGTAGTACTTCTGCATAAGCTCATAGGAATCAAAACGACTAAACATTTGTGAAATAGTTTACTCAAAGGTGTGTGTCATCATACAAATATGTAGTTTGAATCATAAATAATCTCTTCTCTTGTTTTGTAGATAACCGATTATTCAAAAGTAACTTGTGTTTGATTTACGTTACATTCAGTTATAGCCTTCCATAAAATGTGTTATAGAAAATTTCGTATCACATTATCCTCCGTAGGTTCAAGCTTTTTTCAAAAACTATAAACTGCGCAGACTATTAAGTTGATACTATCCACATATTTAGACATAACAAGGCCCCATTC